CTCTTCATAGATGGAAGGGTCTTAAGGTTTATGACCCTAGGGTCTCACGTTTACCCCCTGGGGAAGGAGGGGGGGGGCAAAAATTATTATGGTTATAATGGCAAATGATACTTTGAATATTACATGTTAATAACTTGATTGGAATTATAATCTTGAATTGACAGTTTGATACTTTGAAAATTTTGAGCCAGCCCTACCCCCAAGGGCTGTAGGGTGGGGCTCAAAGGAGTCAGTGTGCTAAAATTTCTTCATTTTCCATGTTTAGAATCAGAGGTGCTAGTTTCAAATCCTTTTTAGTCTGAAATCTGTATGCAAGATATTGAATAAGGTGGTTTTATTGTTTTTTGTCACTTTTAATAATATTTCTATTCATGTTAAAAACAAAATCAACTCTCTGTATAAATATATCAGTTGACCGTTAAGGCCCATGGGCCTCTTGTTTTAAAACTGATGTAGAAAGTTATGTGTTGGAGAAATAGCATTTAATTTTTTTTTCATACTGCATCGGTATTGTGGGGTTTATTTTGCAGGGGGGGGTAAACATTTCTAGTTTACTATTTTTAACTAGATATTTTACTGTTAGAAAAGAGGTTGAATATATTAGTGTTTCACATTTTGGCTAACATTATCTTTATTTCTTACAGGGATCTTTCCAGCAGATGTGGATATCTAAACAGGAGTATGAGGAGGGAGGTCGCAGCTGTGTGGAACGCAAGTGTCCTTGAAAGCAAGGTCAAGGTCGCAATGGTTGTTTATGTTATGTTTCAGGAAAAGATATAAAATGACGGAAATGCTTTACACAATTTAACAAAATTGGATTTGAGAACAAAAATCATTTTCAAATAACAGCCTTTTACTCTGGTACCTACAGTTGAAGCTCTGATCTGAGGAAAACTGCTTAATTAAGTGCTTTACAAAACATTTTGAAATGAAGCATTTTTTCATGCTGTTGAAATACCTCTATGGTGCTGTATTGTTCTGAAAAATGTTTGGTTAAAGATTTGTCTTACAAAAAATCACTTGATAAATGTGTTTGAATATTTAATTGCATGAATTGCTATTACGATCAAATCCTACTGCCTGTGTATGTAAGCCTTATTAAAGGGATGAGGCTGTCTGACCAGAAAAGAGGTGGGCTGTTGTTTTAGAAAGAAATTGGTGTTTATAAGGTCAATACTGTAGGATATATCAGAATTGTATTATGTTCAAGAATGAGAGCATTAGATATATATATATATATATATACAATGTGTATGGTTTCTGGAATCTCAATACTAAACATCTAGTAGTCTGTCAGTAGGTTTATGTAACTGACTTCTTATTTTTGAGAGTTGTTTTACTAGAACTTAGTAAAAATCCACTAAACTGGGACTCATTGGGGTCAGAGAAGTATTGGCAAAAAAGGGCAAGTGGCCATGGGTTGATGGCGTTATGTGGCCTGTTTCATTCGTCCATCACCTTTGCCTTTCAAAGCCTACTTTTCCAGACTGACTGAAGGGATTATGAAAACATTGGTATGGGTATACCTAGAAGGATGGAGATTAAACTGAGAAATAGAAGTTAAGTTTAATGTACTACTTCTGACACAAGTGTAAGGGGATTTTGTCATGAATTCTGTGAATTCATAAACAAGAAAACTGCCTATAATTACAGTGCAGTGTATAGAATGGCACATGATTGCTAGCCCAGGTGTTTGTATGTAGGTGTTGTTTACGATAGCTATAGTTGTGTAACCTGTATGTGAGGTGTCAATATTTTGTTATGTTTGTTTATGTTTGTTTTACATTCATGTCTGACACAGAGTTGTAAATACAGTTAGGGAACAAATGTTGACAGGAGTGAGAGAAAGTAAAACAGTAAGAATGGAAATCATTACATTTCATTTCTTTTGTAAAATAAAACTCATCAATGTGAAACAGATTAGTTTTGTGGTGTTTTTCATTTTATTTTATATCTGAATCAATCTTAATACTTTGTAAAGGAGATGTCAAAAGCATAAGAATGACATTTTCGTGAGAAATTGCTATATGTGTTTACTGTTGACAAAATTAGAACAAAGAAGAGAGAAGATTCAGACTTATGTGGGACTGATGTAGATAGTAGTGGATTCTAATTGAAACCCTTTGGGATCTGTTGTGTTTTCAAATTTATTTATTTTATTTTTTTATTTTTTTTTAAGTATGGCTAATATTGCTGACATTAGAGAATTATTTATCCACCTAACAGCGCCAGCAGCTGTCATTGGTTGTCTTGTTAAATTTTCTTTAAAACTGGTCTAGATCTTATCAACAAATTGCAACTTAAGTTTGTAAGACGCATCCCAAGAGAAAGAATTAATGAAGGAGTTGCTGCCGTGGTGATGAAGGTTGTAGAACTTTACATGTACAGAAGAAATGGGGGTACAGCTCAACGAATTATAATAAAGTTTTGGTGGGAAGCATGTTATAAAAAAAGATTGAATAACCTTAAACTTATTTTGAAAATTGAGTTTTTCAGTAGTATCCTGTCTTTAAAGGAATTAACAGGGCTGCTAGGTCAATACACAAAATGTAGTTACACATCAAATGCCAGGTACATGTATTGAACTTTTTGTTGCTTCCATCTACTGAAATTATGAGATTCTGCATAAGAAAATAATGTACATCATTACCTTTTTCCCATTTTCAGTTGTTTCTACATTACTGCAAGAATATCTAGTCTAATCAAATCTGTAGTCATCTAGTTCTTGATATTTTAAGTTTTAATTGGTCTTTATTGTATAGATAAAATCACTGAATGCTTTACAGGGAAGAAAGATCTACTTTAGAGTTCCACCCACACAGAATATACTTTATATCATAGTAGGCGTAAAGTCTGTTTTTGATACAAAACACATTTGAGACATTAATTTGTTATTCATGAATTACAGTAGATGCTTATCAAAAATCTAAATTTGTTTATAATCCATTTTTGTACATGTACAAGTACATATGTATAATGTTTTCTTGTCATGGATCAATAGCATGGAGTAAATATAATTTGACTTGATTTTCTAATAACTTATGCCGTTTATATCAAATTGTGTGGTCAAATTAGGCACATGATTCCCACCCCCACTGTCTGCTTTGTTTATTGAAAAACTGGCAACTGTTCAGATCGCTTGGTCTGTAGCTGTTATTGTCTACCCTACTGCCGGTCTGTAGCTGTTATTGTCTACCCTACTGCCCTTGTTTACATTTTGGCAAAGTGGACGTTCTAATTTTATCAGATTTAGAAAATGTTATTTAAGGAGATATACCATGTACTTATTTTTGATAAGCATCTCCCTTCAAAATCGCTCAACACTACTAGACATGGAAAATATTTGTTCGAGTGGTTTTAAAATTTGGATATTGATTGGTGAGCGACATTGGAAATGTACATGAAATGCATAAATAAATAACACTCCAATAATTATTTCTGAATAATAAGCATTAAATTCTATGATTAAAAATAAAGGGAGTTAACTATAAGACAAGTCAACACCACTAGACATGAAAAATATTTGTACCAGTGGTTTTAAAATTTGGATATTGATTGGTGACTGTTATTTAAAATGTACATGAAATGCATAAATAAATAACACTCCAATAATTATTTCTGAATAATAAGAATTAAATTCTATGATTAAAAAGAAAGGGAGATAACTCTTACACAAGTCACAGGTGTAAAGAACTGTTGGAAGCAGGTTCTCGAAGTTGTGACATCATTATTGAATAAAAGATGGAAGCACATTTACACCCTAAAATGTGTAGGTACAGGTACATTTCATTTGTTTGATCAAATTTCAGTTGAAACCAAAGAGCTAGTTCTGTCTGACATTAACACATTTTATATACGTATGTGACAAAACATAAATGGGTCTTTTCAAACTTGAAGTAGATTAAAAGAAAGTACCACATAGACAATACATTAGGACAAAATACTAGATAAATGTCCGTACAAATGTACCGACACCATATCATCAAAACACAAAGACAAAATCCTGATTCTTTGATTTAAATGTACATGTACCACATTTCCAATATAAAAGGTCAAAATCCTAGCTTAAAGTTGGTACAATAGGCAGCAACTGAATACAAACCTAAACAAAAGGAAAGGCAACATGAATCATACAAAAATGAGGCGAAACCTGGTCCTATGAAAAGCCTTTCAGGGCTTCTTCCTGCAAATCATATTGAGGACCATATCTTCGGATTTGTATGCTGAAGAATCCTGCTAGCTAGTTTATAGTGAACAATAGAAGCTATCAGTCAAGCTTTGATCACATCGTTCTATTGATGAATGCACAGTTACAAATGTTTAATTTTTAGAACAGTTTAGAATGGTAAATTGTTAAAACAAATCTGCTTCAAATGATAAACTCCCTTGATGTAATACCCATTCAGCATTTATGCGGTGTGTTCGGCAATGATACAAATTTTCGTCTGCCAATGTAGCGTACTTTGTGCCAACGTCTTGGAAGATACATTGACAAAATTTTAGTCGGTTACGTGCTAACTTTACTTTGACATTTTGAGATTGAATAAAAGTCGGTGAATGGGAAGGATTTATAAACCATTGACTCCCTGTCGTATTTCTTTAATGCTGAGCCGTCAATTACAATATAACAATTTTCAAAGGAAATGTCCGCCATTTTTGTGTAAACTATGCAACGTTTGGCATTGATTTTCTCTTTACAATAATTTTAAATTAAATTCGAAATAAAACCTTAATGTTTTGGTGACATTGGCTACATATATAGAGTGGTCATTTAATAAACGGCACATCCTCTCTTTAAAATATGTCTGACTTCATGTCGAGGTATTCATGAAAATATGTATTTTATTTAAACTGATCTATAACGTCTCTAACGTCTATCAGTTTGACTAGACACTGAATATTAACTGACATGTAGTTCATAAGGCTATGCTACTAGAAGCAGTATCATGATTTGTTTGACTCATTCACCCCTGCAGTTTCATAATTAACTATTCCAACCTTTGAATTGGAAGAGTTCAAGTGTGTCCTTATTTCGGGTCAGAACAAGACGACAGCATTTTGCAAAACATCTTTACATGAGTATATTTAGTTAAACTGATTTCTTTGAGTGTTTTTAACAGCCCATTAATATCTCACCGTCATTCAGGCCTTAACGGTCAAAAATATAATACGGCGAAAATAAGGCCTCACGCTAGTCTTACGGCCCATCAACACCATGTTCAACGTCACACAAGACCACACGGTAGTCTTACGGCCCACCAACACCATGTTCAATGTCACACAGGACCACACGGTAGTCTTACGGCCCATCAACACCATGTTCAACGTCACACAGGACCACAAAGTAGTCTTACACCCCATCAACACCATGTTCAACGTCACACAAGACCACAAGGTAGTCTTACACCCCATCAACACAATGTTCAACGTCACACAGGACCACAAGGTAGTCTTACAGCCCATCAACACCATGTTCAACGTCACACAGGACCACACGGTAGTCTTACAGTCCATTAACACCATGTTCAACGTCACATAGGACTACACGGTAGTCTTACAACCCGTCAACACCATGTTCAACGTCACACAGGACCACAAGGTAGTCTTACAGCCCATCAACACCATGTTCAACCTCACACAAGACCACAAGGTAGTCTTACACCCCATCAACACAATGTTCAACGTCACACAGGACCACACGGTAGTTTTACAGTCCATTTACATCATGTTCAACGTCACACAGGACCACACGGTAGTCTTTCACCCCATCAACACAATGTTCAATGTCACACATGACCACACGGTAGTTTTACAGTCCATTAACACCATGTTCAACGTCATACAGGACAACACAGTAGTCTTACGGCCCATCATCACCATGGTCAACGTCACACAGGACCACTAGGTAGTCTTACACCCCATCAACACAATGTTCAACGTCACACAGGACCACACGGTAGTCTTACACCCCATTTACACCATGTTCAAAGTCACACAGGACCACACCGTAGTCTTACACCCCATCAACACGATGTTCAACGTCACACAAGACCACACGGTAGTTTTACATCCCCATCAAAACAATGCTCAACGTCACACAGAACCACACGGTAGTCTTACTGAATATCAACACAATGTTCAAGGTCACACAGGACCACACGGTAGTCTTACTGAACATCAACACAATGTTCAACGTTGATGTTCAGTAAGACTACCGTGTGGTTCTGTGTGACGTTGAGCATTGTTTTGATGGGGATGTAAAATTACCGTGTGGTCTTGTGTGACGTTGAACATTGTGTTGATGGGGAGAAAGACTACCGTGTGGTCCTGTGTTACGTTGAACATGATGTAAATGGACTGCAAGACTACCGTGTGGTCCTGTGTGACCTTGAACTTTGTGTTGATATTCAGTAAGACTACCGTGTGGTTCAGTGTGACGTTGAGCATTGTTTTGATGGGGATGTAAAACAATGCTCAACGTCACACAGAACCACACGGTTGTCTTACTGAATATCAACACAATGTTCAACGTCACACAAGACCACACGGTAGTTTTACATCCCCATCAAAACAATGCTCAACGTCACACAGAACCACACGGTAGTCTTACTTAATATCAACACAATGTTCAAGGTCACACAGAACCACACGGTAGTCTTACGGAATATCAACACAATGTTCAAGGTCAAACAGGACCACACGGTAGTCTTACTGCCCATCAACACAATGTTCAACGTCACACATGACCACACGGTAGTTTTACAGTCCATTAACACCATGTTCAACGTCATACAGGACAACACGGTAGTCTTACGGCCCATCAACACCATGTTCAACGTCACACAGGACCACTAGGTAGTCTTACACCCCATCAACACAATGTTCAACGTCACACAGGACCACACGGTAGTCTTACACCCCATT